GAGGTCTTTTCTGGCAACTCAAAAGTTAAATACTGCCGGAGCATCCCCTGCCTCAGTCTCTCATTCCTTTGGTTTTGAGGGACCTTGGGGCTACGTTACTTAAGCGCTCTTCACCTCAGGTTCTTCTGTAAACCAGGAATAATAAAGAGTACCTACCTCACAAGGTTGCTGGGAAGGCTAAATAGTTCATACATGTAAAGCACTAAGAATTCAAGCACACAAGGGCACTCAATATACGCCACTGTTTCCTTCATAGCATTTTTCACAGTGAAATTCTTTTATGTTTTTCTTTACTTTAAAAAAAATCTTTTCTCCCATAGAATAAAAACTCCATGAGGACAGTTAACTCTTCTGTTTTGTTCAAAGTGCCAGGTTCACCCATACACACACACACACACAACTAATATATATATTAGTTGAGAATAAACAAATGAAGAAAATATTATATCAAAAACTTAGGAGAGTGTGGTGGCCATGAAAACGCTCCCCTCAGACCATTTGCTGTGGGAAACAAAATTGACTGACAGCCCCACTGCTGCCTGCTGGGTCCACCACACTTGCACCGAGGCCAGGCTTTCTGAGGGTGGCTCTAGGTCAATGACTGAGCATGGCAGAGGTAACCAGGGCAGGTCCATTCGGGCAAACTGCCAGACCCTTCCTACAAGAAGTTTGGCCTGACATCTCCCCACTGGCAAAGTCAAGCCTTTCCTGGAGCTGCACTTCACTTCTTCCCTGCCTCTCTCTTTGCACAGGTGTCAGCCCTGCACTGTGGTCTGCAAGCTCTCACTGCCTGCTCCTGGCTCTTGCTCCCTCCCTAATAAATCTCTTGCACATCTAATAAAATGTTGGCATCTGCTTCTTGGTAGACCCAAACTTGCAGAAGCAAACCCCGAGGGGAGAATTTGTGAATATATGATTAAGGTGCTCTCAGGAGAAACCAGTAAGGGAGAGAAACAGGATAGGAAAGGGATACAAGCCAAGTGATGGGTCAATTTCAGTCAAAATCTCTGCCTAACCTTTCAGGGAAGCTGGGCTCACCAGGGTAAGAATCACCCACTATTCAATTTCTAACCTTAAATTATGTTCATCTATGTGGTCCAATCAAGCTCACCAAACAGGATTTCACAACATATACTAGATAATGATATATACAATATTACAATAAAATAAAATAACAATACTGCATATACAGTCCAATAATATTGTTCTTGTGCCTAGCAAATAGTAGGCACTCAATAAATACATATTGAATGAACAGCACAATATTTACAATTAAAATGCTTGAAAATTGCCACCACCCTATAAAAAAGACAGCACCCACAGTTTTCACGCAATTTCTCTTTTTCCACAAAAATGTAACTCCCAAAATATACACGAAGTGCCAAACTTCTTCCATTCTTCTTCTCAGCGACATTCCTCTCCCAATGCAGGAGTCTCATTCTTTTTGCTCAACTTTGCCTCTCAGACATCAGTTCCCTGTCAATATAATTCTTTCAATCCACTTAAATTACCTAGGGAGAGGAAGGGAAAGAGGGCTAGGGCCCAGAACCCAAACCGGCAAAGGCCGCAATCCAACATGCTAACACGGCTGACTTGTGAGCATGGAACAAAGTTTCGTTGGCCTGGGCTAGAGGATAAAGACCAGAACGAAAGCAGACTAAGCTGCCTCCCTGGTCCTTTTCTCCTAGATCTCACCACACCAATGATAACTTGAATCCAAATGAGACATACCAAGGAAAAGAAGAGGAATAAAGATGTGAATGCTTAGAATCCATCCAAACCATCCATCCTAGAATTTCCCATGGAGGTGTTTCCTAACAGAGAGGCATTCCCTGGTCCATCTTACCTCACTAGCATAGAAGGAAGAAGAGGTGCTTAATAAATGTAAGTGAGGAATTTACATGTTATTGGATGTCTGCCCTTGGAATGTTATTATTACATACTTCTTTAAACACTTATGTTAGGAATGACAATATGATCCTCACCCTTATCTAATTATAAGGAAATAATTTATGAGCCATTAACTAGGCCCATGGCTTCATAAGGATTCATAAGTTAAGACTCGAGAAAAATATAGGTTTTGGGATTACAGCTAGGGGTTCAAACCTAGCTTCCTCTAGCCATGTGACCTAGGACAGATGAGCCTGTTTCCTCACTGATGTGTATAACTATGTACAATGTTGTTGTAAGGAGTAGGAATAATACAAGGAAAGTGTCTGGCTCATAGGAGGTACTCAATAAAACTTGACTATTACTTACGACAGTATGACAGTGTAGAGCTAAAAAATTGAAATCAAAACCCATGGGTAGTCTCATGTTGCCAGTTACCTCTATCAAGAACCCTATCTCTTTGAGTTTGCTTCCTCATGTGTAAAGTGAGCATAATCGCTGTTACTCATCTCAAAATATCATTTAAAAGATCAAAAGCACTACACGTTAAGTGCTTTGGGAATTATAAGGCATTTATTAACATGATCTAAATGCTAACACATTTCTATGGTAGTGAGTTTTGATGCACAACTTTTTTAAATGCATCACCTACTTCCTTGCCTTATTGAATATCACTTCACCTTGAGATCTCAAGATTATACTGATGGCTGTGACGTTTTTGCCCTTTTTAAGTTATCTAGCATCAGACTACTGTTTTTACATAGACTTTTTCCTAACTTGTGGTAAAGTATAAATAAAATTTAGCATTTTAACCATTTTTAAGTGTACAATTCAGTGTCATTAAGTACACTTACAGTGCTGTGCAAACGCCACCCATATCCATCTCCTGAACTTTTTCATCGTCCCAATCTGAAATCTGTACACATTAAACAGTAACTCCCCATTACCCCCTGATGTTTGCTGCTTTTTTTTCCTGTTTATCTGGCGTTTGTTCACTCATTAGCAACAACAGCTCATTTCTCTCCTTCCCACAAAATATACTGCTGGCTATAACTTGAGAGGAACTGCAAATGCCATTTTTAAACCAGTAACATTCTTTGGCCTGAAACACGAATACAATCTGGTTCCAACCCAGTTTTTCAACTCTATTTCTATTCAGAATCCAAAGTTTAAGTCAAAGTCAACAACTACCTTTCACTGTGCTTTCTTCTTTCCACACCTCTGCTCACACCTTCTTCACCCTTTGGAATGTCTTTCCTATTCACCCCTTCACACTCTGACCTGTCTATTGGAATCCTTCAGGGCCCAGCTCATATTCTCTCTTTTCCACAAAGGCTCCTTGACCACCTCATATGGTCCCTCTCTCCTTTGATATCTTACAGCAGCTATGATGCAAATTACTCATGATCAAAATTGTACACTGCAGTTGTTTCATTTATGTCGACCTGAGCTCCTCAAAACAGCAATTTTTGTTCATTCAATCATATGTCCATATATTTATTACTCATTCAACAAATACTGTCCACTGTGTATAAAATGCCCAGCAAATGTGTGAATAAACACAATTCTAAGTCACTAGACTTTGATGGATGAGTCAATAAACTCAAGCTCTTCTTCTGTTTGGATTTTGTAAAAAATAATTTTATTTATCTCTTGGGTCTTAGTTGTGCTCCACACAGTTAATAATCATCTATAGTATAATAATAATCCTAATACATCAGCTACCTATTAAATCAGTTAAAACCTGTTTATTTTGGCAATTTGGAAATTTACGTTGCACAATCAAACCTGAATGATTCTGTTGATTCTAAAAAGCCTTCAACGCTCCAGGTAGCCAGCACTGTTCACAATTCCCACTTAGGGACAAGACTATGCAAAGCTGTCTTTTTGTTAGTGTCCTGTATTCTCGCTGGATATCAACGAAGGGAAAAAGGTAAAGCGCGTCTAGCTTTCTTCATTTAGGTACACATGGAGGTGAATAAGAGCTGGTAGGAAGTGTTTGGGTCAGTGCTTCTTCGCCCACAGCATAATTCCAACTGAAAAGTTACTGCCACTTGGCTTCTCATTGGCCAAGCGTCTCTCATTGGCCAAGGTAGGAAACTGCAAGGTTTTGCAGCTGGTGCCTCCAACCCTTGACCCGGCGCCACGCGCTATCCAATCAGCGCCGAGTACTGCGTTCCTCCAAGATCTTCCTCTTTCAGTATAGCCCTCTATGTGCCAGCAAAGTTAACGAATCCCCAAGCATTCATAATAATACTTGCATTGCTATACAAGCCACACGGGCATTCATGACTTCACTGACGCTCCTCCACAGCCCAAGGATATAAGCATTATTTCTATTACTCAGAAGAGGAGGCTGCTCCTGAGCTACAGGGCCCAGGAACTGTAGGGCAGAAACGCAAATCCGGAGCTGGGACCACTCCTCGAAAAGGACTTTGGTCCGGCGGTGCACGGCCACTGCCGACACTTCCCCAGCCTGGAGCTTTCCCGGATAACCCACCTGCCTTGGATTCTCGGGCGGCGGTTACCTTCCCTCGCGGCCCATTGAGCCGTAACCAGCCGCCTTTCACCAGGCTTCCCCAAAACAGGAAAACCACCGCCAAAGTGCGCGTCCCGGCCTGCAACCCGCAGCGCTTACAGGACAAGGCCACACATCTACCGTCACCCCAAGGGTTACCCACGAACCCGAATCGGGCTTTGAGCGGCTGACTCCGGCTCCCAGCTCCAGCCCGTCCTCGGTCACCACAGAAGCTCCCATCCCCCACCGGGCCCGCCCCTGCGCTCACAGGCCGCTCTAGCCGCGCACCGAGCCGGCAATCTCTTCGCTCCCGCCCTGACGTCATCGGCGGGCGCCGCGGCGCGGTGGCGGGCACGCGCGGCCGAGAAGATGTCTCCTACGCCGCCGCTCTTCAGTTTGCCCGAAGCGCGGACGCGGTTTACGGTGAGCGGAAGGCGGGTGGGTGCGGCCCTGGCTCAGCGCTATTTTTTGCCCTCCTCTCCCTGAAATTACTCGAATTTTGCTCTGGGGTAAAGCGGGGACAGAGGCGTGTGCGCCGCGGCGACGGGCTCCCGGCCTCGTCGTGGGCTGGGAAGTGGCAAAGGCGCATTACCTGTCTCTTCCGCGCGTCCTCTGCGGTCCGCCTCCACCTTCCCGCCGGCTGGTCCCAGGACCCCGCGTTCTGGGCGTGTCTGCGCCCTGCGTGGAGGGGTCATCCGCAGACTACCTCTGTTCGGGTCCAGCTCCTCTGCAGTGCTCTCTCAGCTGGTCAGGTGTCTCCAGAACTGGAAGGGGGCTGCTGAAGGGGGAGGGACTGACTTTAGCCCAGAGAACTGGCTCCCGCCCCGCCTCCTAAGCTGCCAGGTGGTTGTTCTGGCCGCTTATTCACCACCCTTTAACCCTCCGTATCATTCGTAAGAGATCGATGAGGAAGGTCCTAAGTGGGACAGGACAAACAGGTCAGCTTGGAAAGGGTTGTCAGCTGTCATTTTATTCTTACACATTGGGGAACAGTAGGTTAAGCATTTGGGAAACACTTTACAGAGCGTTTTCTTGTTAGCTTGTTTAACTCTTAGAATAGCACTGTAAGGAGGCTGTTTTATTATCCCTGGTAGATGAGATAGAAACTGAGACAGCCTCCCCCCACTCCAAAAGTTAAATGATTTACTTTACTGTTTTCTCTGACTTAAGACCCAGTATTCTTTTTATGTTGCCCATCACTAAATTGTTTGACTGTATTTTTCCCTTGTGCTCTGAAATTCTGCCAGGAGTAACTGTTAGGAATATCCAGTATTGGTCCTGGAGGGGACCATTTAATGGGAGCTCATCTAGCCCAGTGCTTCTCAAGCTTGAGCATGAGGTGGGATCTCCTGGAGATCTTGTTAAATGTAGATTCTGGTTCAGTAGGTCTGGAATGGGGCCTGAGATTCTGCATTTCTAACAAGTTCTCAGGTGATGCCACTGCTGCTGTTGGTAGTAAGGATCTACAACAACCCTCATATTTAACTCGTGAGGAAAATGAAGCACAGAGGTAAGGGGGTATGCCCAAGATTACACAGCCTATTCACAGGCAGAGTCAGGAACGGACTTTTCCAGTATAAATGTAACTCCTGTGAGGTAACATTGATTTTCCAAGTGTATGTGAATTTTCACAGAATGAATGACTTGGCAATATTTTTGTCTTTCAATTATGACTACTTTAAGACAACCAGCAGGTTTACTACTTTAAGACAATCAGTGTTTACTTGGTGTCAGGGGCTGTGCTGTGCAAGCTACCTAGACGAGGCAGGACTTTTTTTTTTTTTTTCGAGGTAGGACTTTTGATGGGTCTTGAAGAATGGATAGAATTTGCGTGAGCACGTGGGAGGAATAATGGGAATGAATACACTAGAGTGAGCTTGATAGAAAATGATGGGAAAATGGCTAGACCCTAGTAGAGAGTGTGTGTTAGGGGGTACTGGGAAATGAGGTTGCATAGCTTGAGTGGGATAACATTATCAAGGACGTTTAGAGGAAGCTACGAAATAAGGAGCCACTTAGAGATTTTTTTTTTTTAAAGCAGGATACTCTCATGAATGGGATATTTAAAAAGAAAGGAGGAGGGAAAACCTGGAATGAGAAAGTCTAGCTGGGGAGCTCTTGCAAGGCTTAAAGTGATGAGTCTATATCAGTAAGTGGCATTTGAATAAGAATTACTGATAGAATGACTCATAGGTAATTTTTCCCAGGTATAAACATTTTTTATTAGACATACTATTGATGAGTGATATGTTTTTCAGTAAATAATAAGCAGAAATCTTTCCACTTATTTGCTATTTTTATTTTTCTAGAAATCTACCAGAGAGGCCCTGAACAACAAAAATATCAAGCCCTTGTTGAATACCTTCAGCCAGTTGCCTGGAAGGTAAGGCGTTGATATCCATGAAATAGGCTCGCTGAAATCTTTATACGTACCCTGAGCTGCTTTAAAAATGCAGGTGTTTTTTGTTTTTAATAGTGAAAATGAAAAAAAATGTACCCTTGACCAAGCTTTTAGAGGTGTTGTAGAAGAAGAAATTGTAAGTATGTTTTTCCTTTATTTATCGTTAGAATTTTGCTGGCAAATTAATATTATTTTAAAATTTGCTTTTATCCTTAGAATAGATATTTAAACATGACTATTTTTTCTAGAGTGAACTTGCTACTTTGTGAAACCTAACTTGGTCATAGTTAGTATAGGAGTTGTGTAAGGATTAAGGGTTTTAATAGCACAGTTTGACTTGTTTAAGGGTTGGTTTAATAAATGAATAGAGCCCTCTGCAAGTGAATATGTATAAGAAAATTTGATAAGAGGTCTTCCTGAGCAAAAACTATAATTTGAAGGTGAGCCCTCTCGCTTTGCTGTATAAACAGTGACACATCTTGTAGTGGCATAAAAGGTCTAGTCCAAGGATGTTCATTCAGCATGGGAGCTGGGATTCCATGCCCTCATTTTCCTATGGCATCCCCTTATCAGTTCACCTGCAAAAATAACAATAGCCTATCCAACTTCAGTAGAGAAATTTAATCTAAACATGAAAAATCTGAATTTATTTACCATTAGTGGAGCACGCAAATGAAAGGAAAAGTTTATTCTTGGTTTAGCAAAGCTTAGATCTCAAGAAGCTAGACCCTTTTCCCGTGGCCATAAAACAGTGTCCCTTTCTTTTGGACAATTCTATGTCAAATTCATTCTTTCCTCTTCTTCAGACCTAGTCACTTACCTGTTGTCAGGTATTGGGCAAGTTACTTTGCTTTTCTGAGCCTCAATTTCATTTGTAAGAGGGGAAATACCATGTTTTCATGGTGGTTGTGTGAAACGGCACTTAATGTACACTCAATAAATGCTGGATTTTATGATGCTATCAAACCTAAGCACCACCTCTCTTCTATTAAAACCCTCCCTCAGACATATTGATGCACCAGTACAATTAATTCCCCTGGCCCTGCCTTTGTCCTGTGCCATTGAGTGAGTTTTGGCCTCAGCACATGTGTAGTTGATTAGCTTACAGCCTTAATCATGCTAATGTAACGATCTTCCTAAGACTTGGATTTTAAGTGAATCACCTGCTGTTTAATTATTTGATATACTTCTACCGTTAGGGTTATTACTGTTCATTTTTTAAATTTTCATCTTAGAAAGTAATCTTCTGTGAGAAATATCTTTATCCAGTGTTTATGATAATCAATTTAATGTCAGAGGATATGTTTTTCTTATTATCAAATTAGTCTAAAGTCTGGCTCCTAAATTAAGTTGTTTTCTCCTTTGTTGGTAGATAAATCATTCATCATGTGAAAACGTTTTAGCTGTTATTTCTCTTGCTATTGGGGGAGTTACTGAAGGTAAGTATGGGTTTGTTTTGTTTTTTTTTAAAGCAATCTTGGGCATGACATGTTTTATTTAAAACTTATTCTCCCCATACCTAATTGATTTTGTTCATTTTTAAAATTCTGCCTACCCCGTTTGCCAAGAAGTCCCATGGAAATTAGCTCACAGGTATTTCTTGTCACTAGTGTATACAGTGCACACTTTGGCACTTTCTTTGTTCTCCACTTGTTCTGTTCATCAGGTAAATATTTATCGAGCATCTACTATGTGCCTGGTACTGAGCTAGGAATTGGGAGATTCAGTGGTAAATAAGACATATTCGCTGCCTATAAGGAGCCTAGTGGCTAATGGAGGAAACACGTCTAAATGTCTTACTGGGGCGGGGGGTGAAGTAGGAATGAAGTATGGTTGAAGTGATTCTCTAAACTTCAGAGTCTGAAGGAATCAGGATGGTCTTAGAAAGGAAACTGTAACATAAGAGCTGGGATGTGAGGGATGAGTAATTTGTCAGGCAGAAACAGAAGGATATAGCTATGTAAAGACCTGGTTCAGCATGACTAAAAAAAATGTAGAGCAGAATGGTGAGAGGATGATGAGCATGGTGAAGAAAAGAAGCAGGAGGGGTAGGTTAGGGCCATTTGTAAAGGGCTTTGTGTGCCATGCTAAAGAGGACCTATGGAAGAGCCATTGGATTGGGAGAAACTGCTGGCAGGAAAACTAGGTAGAGGACAATTAAAATGGGGCAGTGGCAGTAGGGGATAGTTTCAAGAGACTTTTATTTATTTTTATTTATTTATTTTTAGTTATTTTTATTTAGTTAATTTTGGCTGCGTTGGGTCTTCGTTGCTACGCGTGGGCTTTTCTCTAGTTGTGGAGAGCAGGGGCTACTCTTCGTTGCAGTGCACAGGCTTATTGCAGTGGCTTCTCTTGTTGCGGAGCCCGGGCTCCAGGCACGCAGGCTTCAGTAGTTGTGGCACATGGGCTTAGTTGCTCTGTGGCATGTGGGATCTTCCTGTACCAGGACTTGAACCCATGTCCCCTGCATTGGCAGGTGGATTATTAACCACTGCGCCACCAGGGAAGCCCCTCAAATGAGATTGCCAGGCTTTAGCTTTGTTTTACTGAATCAGAATCTTTGAGAGTGGAATTTAGGTATTTTTCTATAGTTATTAATGTGAGTTAACTTTTGCCAAACTATACTTCTGCTAAGGGCAGGGAGTATGTCTCTCAAATCTCTTGGATATACAGGACTTAAAAGTATCACAAATCTAAGTGTTAAAGGACTTTAGAGGTCATATTGTCCAATCTTGTCTCTGACCTATCCTGTCTCCCCTCAGTAAAGTCCTTGGCAGGTGGTCATCCAGCCTCTACTCCCATTGATGGAGCTCACTATTTGATTTCTGTTAGATAGTTCTGATGGTGCGATATCCCCTTTGTATTGAGTTGAAATTTGCTTCTTTATGCCTCCCTGGTTCTAGGCAGTATCCCTCACATCACATTCCAGATATGATCTTACCAGTGCAGAGTAGAGCTGGAAATACTACTTCCTGTTTCTGAACATACTGTGTTAATGCAGTAATTTGGGCTAATAGTACCCACTCAGTACTTTTTTTTTTTTTTACATATCATGCTGAAGTGTCTACTTTTCCTAAACACTTAACAAGTGTTAGTATCTATTACATAAAAATAGAAGGAAGAATGAGCAGGGAGGTAAAAAGTATTTTTAGCTAGCCTAGACGACCTTAAAGTCCTTAATTTATTGCTTTACTTTAGTAAGATTGAATTTAGAAATAAACAACTTTTTATTTTACCCTTTTTTCCCTTGAAACAATGGTATTATTGTAAAAGTTTAATGAGTTGAAATCAGTATCAAATCTTTTTTTTTTTTAGAAACAAACAAATATTTATTTTGCCACTTCAGAAGGTTTTTGAAAGCTTTAG